ACTAAGATCATGGCATCCAGTTCCATCATTTTATGGCAAATAGATGGGGAAACAATGGAAACAGTGACAGACTTTATTTTCTTGGGCTCCAGAATCACTGTAGATGGTGACTGCAGCCATGAAATTAAAAGACGCTTGCTCCTTGGAAGAAAAGCTATGACCAACTTAGAGAGCATATTAAAAAGAGACATTACTTTGCTGACAAAGGTTCATCTAGTCAAAGTTATGGCTTTTCCAGTAGTCATGTATGGATATGAGAGTTGGACTGTAAAGAAAGCTGGGCACCGAAGAATTGATGCTTTTGAACTGTCGTTTAAAAGGAGACTTGAAGGACTCTTGAGAATCCCTTGGACTGCAAGGAGATCAAACCACTCAATCCTAAAGGACACTGACCCTGAATATTCATTGGAAGGACTGATACTGAAGCAGAAGTTCCAATATTCTGGCCGCCTGATGCAAAGAGCTGATTCATCGGAAAAGACCCTGATGTTGGAAAAGACTGAGGGCAGGAGGAGGAGGAGGTTACAGAGGATGAGATGGTTGGACAGCATCATCAACTCAACAGACATGAGTCTGAGCAAACTTTGGGAAATAGGGAAGGACAGGGAAGCCTGGCGTGCTGCAGTCCATGGGATTGCACAGTTGAACACAACTGAGCAACTGAACAACAACAAAAACCAGAACACAATAATCAAGGTCAAGGATCAAGAAGAGATGACCACAAAAGTCTAGGAACAAAGGATTTTAAGAAAATAACCCAAGATCTCAGTCTAGAGAGAATCCAGAAGACCAACTGCACAACAACTTTGTGTATGTGTTGTGTGCTTAGTCACTCAGTTGTGTCAGGACTGTAGCCCGCCAGGCTCCTCTGTCCATGGGGATCTTCAGGCAAGAACACTGGAGTGCATTGCCATGCTCTCCTCCAGGGGATCTTCCCAACCCAGGGATCGGACCCAGGTCTCTCGAACTGCAGGCAGATTCTTTATGGTCTGAGCCACCAGGGAAACCCAAGAATACTGGAGCGGGTAACCTATCTTCAGGGTATCTTCCCAGCCCAGAAACAGAACCAGGGTCTCCTGCATTGCAGACAGATTATTTACTAGCTGAGTTACAACTACTACTACTTATATTCAGTTTTAAGATTTTCTTTTTTAAACCTTTATTTCCTTACATATAGTTTTTGAAATGTGTGAAACACGATATTTAAAAAAAACTCAAAACTATATAAAAAGGTACACTCAAAATCTCATTCCCTTCTCTCTCTCTTCTACCTCAATACTATACATACCTATAGATAACTACGTTTACTGTATTTCTAGTTTATTACTCCTAAATTTTTTACAATAAGCAAATACATAATATACTCTTATTTCTTTTTCCTTCACTCAGAAAAGTAGAATATACCCCACATACCAATACCACTTTTCATATTTTTCTTTTATTACCTTAAATTCCAATAACAGGTTAATTTTCTTCCGTGAGGTGGATAGCACAAAAGTCTAAATTCCTTTTCCTCTAGTTCAATTATAAAATCATTCAATTATAGAAACTCATATAGTTTTTTGAACCCTCATGGATTATTCAAAGGACTGTTTTTAATCTGTGATCTCCCTTCAACACCGTGGCACAAAATGAAAGAGAGTTCACCTAAATATTGGGCTTCCCTTGTGGCTCAGCTGGTAAAGAATAAGCCTGCAATGCAGGAGACCTGGGTTTGATCCCTGGGTTGGGAAGATCCCCTGGAGAAGGGAAAGGCTACCCACTCCAGTATTCTGGCCTGGAGAATTCCATGGACTGTATAGCCCATGGGGTCACAGAGTCAGACACGTCTAAGCGACTTTCACTTCACCTAAATGTTAAAATTCTATTTGGATCTTTTAAGCAAGCACAGCAACATTTTCTCCTCTGGGTAACTTTAACTGGCTCTACGTTTCTGGAAAGATGGATGACAACTGCTTTAGGATCTTTATTCCACTCTCTTTTCATCCAATACAGGCTAATTTCACAAATTCTACATGACCTTCCATTTTTAGCTAACCCATCTCCTCCATACCTGAAGACGAAACAGTAAACAGAAAATTGCACAAGCAATGTTAAACAAGTCTAAGGACAATGAATGGGAACTTGTAAACAAGAAAAGAGAGATAGGACCTTGGCAAAGGAGAAGATAAATCACTTTCCATGTATCTCCATTTCAAATGTTCAAAATATTACATTTCTATGTTTACAAAACTAAAACTTAAAAAAGTAATTATGACAAGTTCTAGGCTCCTAAAACTGGATGGAAGAAACTTTTTTTAAAAGAATAATTATGAAACAGCAATCCCTGGAAATATTAAAGGGCTTCCTAAAACAACAAACTGAACCAGATAATCTCCCTGGCATATCTTTTAGTTCTAAAAAGCAGCATCATTTCTCCACCCATTCCCATTTTTCTCCTTCATTACATTCAAACCATGTATCTTTCAGGTGAAATATCAGTATTTCTAAATCAGTTTCAGACCATAACGTGGGCTGGCCAGCAGTAAGAAATACAACAGACCGAATCTGGCACTCACGGGTGGACTTAGATGAAATAAGATCTCTGAACAAAAACCTGTAAGTTCTATAATAGTGTTGTGTGCTAAGTCTCTCAGTCGTGTCCAATTCTTTGTGACCCCATGGACTGCAGCCCGCAAGGCTCCTCTATCCATGGGACTGATTCTCTTCCAAGCAAGAATACTGGAGTGGGTTGCCATTTCCTCTTCCAGGCGATCTTCCCAACCCAGGGATCGAACCCACGTCTCTTGTATCTCCTGCACTGGCAGGCGGGTTCTTTGCCACTGGTGCCACCTGGTAATAGAGTTAATAAAACATACAGAAACACAAAAGATGAATTCTACAGGGAGAAAAGAGGTTACATATCAGCTTAAAGAATAAACAGAATAAAGCTAACAGAAAAAAGGGCGAGAGAGAAAGTCCAAGGACAAGTAAGAGAAAAAAGCAAGAAATCAAAATATCTATATCAAGGACATAACAGGTGGGAACAGATAGAAGAAGAAAGAGTATATGAGAGGGAACTAACAAAAAATAAAGCTAGGAAAGAAAGCTGGGACCAGGATGCTGGCTTTCATTCAAACTGCATTTATTAAGGCTTACTAAATGGAAGTACGATGCTGGGGCATGGGGTAGGGGAAGAGATTAAAAAAAAATCCCTTCCCATAAGGCACTTGGTTATCTGGCACGGTACAGAGCACATCACTGGTACACAGTAATTTAGTAAATGCCTTTTATAAATAGACTCAAACAAAAAAGACAAAGATGTTAAGATAGGAAAGCTTAAGAGAAACAAGTGTAACTACCAGCTGATGGTAGCTCTGTAAACCCCCTTCTTCCACAAGCACATAAACAAATATACACACCTCCACGAAGCACACAAGTGGATAACTCCTACATAAGAATACGAATGCAATATATGCAGATACAAAAGAAAGTTGAGTTATCTGTTGTATAACGTAAGTTAGGCAGGTAACTAATCTGAAGGTTCCTGAAAAAGCTTAGGTGAGGAGGTCGGACTTCTTAAAAAGGCAGCTGATTCTAGAGCTGGGGCAGGAAAGGTGTAAGACGAGCCTGGAACATCTCGTGGAGTCACAAAGTTAAGAGGTAAACAAAAGAAATGAACCATGTATCAACAGTTACAGGAGCCAAATTGTTAAGAGCTCCCAATGGCAAAAGCAGCACCAATTTGAGGAACAAATAATAGCAATGCAAAAAATAAATATCCATGAGTGCCAACTGTCACAAATAATGATTTAATGAATGAATACATAAATAAAAGGGGAAAAAGGGACAAGCTTTTTTTTTTTACAGAAGAATCCCAATTAATATGGAAGGAATAAAGGAAGAGAGAAAATCACAGCTAGAAAACAAAATCTGCTGCAATGATCTACCAATGAAAGCTGAAATGAATAAAGTTTTAAGGAAAAAATAGGGTACTTGCATGCCAAAGTATCTCCCCCAAAACATTTCATAATTTACAAAGTCATAAATAGTAACTTTATAGTGGAGAAACCTGACAGACACCATCTTAACCAAAGAACCAAGGTCAACATTACCAATAATAAGATATACTGATATCAAGTTCCCCCCGATACAACTGATATACAGAAAAGGACACATCACTTCTGTATTATCCCTCCCCAAGATGCACTACCCTCAATCTAATCAAGAAAATATCAGACATATCCAAACTGAGGAACATTCTACACAATACCAGACAAGTACTTTTCAAAAGTGTCAAGTACTCTTCAAAAGTGTCAAGATCATTATAGGCAAGAAAAGATGAGGAACAGTTACACATTGGAGAAGCTTAAGGAGACATGACAAATGACAGCAAAATGCAATGTGGGATCCTAGACTAGATCCTGAAATGAATCCTGGAACATAAAAAGATTACTGGAAAAACTGGTGAAATCTAAATAAAGTCTGTAATTTACTTAGTAGCTAACAGTACTGCTTAGTCAAAAGTATTAATTTCTTAGTTTTGTTAATGGTTGGTTATATAAGGTGTTAACATGGAGGAACTGGTTGAAGGATATAGATGAACACTTTGTACTATTTACATAACTCTTCTGTAAATCTAGAATTCTTTCAAAATAAAGGTTTTTAAAAAATCTTGGGTCATGAAAACAATACTGTTTGCAATACTATGTTGGTTTTTTTGAACCTTAGACTCTCAACTTACCTGAACTGTGGGTAATGTTTTCCAGTGAATGCTACATTATCCCTACTCCCACTTTATGCTATGTCAGTCCTCTAATATAATAAAGTTCTAACAAATTAATATTCTACCAAAAATAGTTATTCATTGAATTAAAAACATTTCTTTTACATCCTAAAAATGACTAGTAATCAGAATTTCATCTTTAATGACATAAACCTCCACAAAGCTTTACCTTCAGTAGAAGCTAATATTGTTCCTGTTCACAGTATAAAAATAAAAACTTAAATAAAATCCTTACCTTCCAACCACTGCCAGCCTCTCTATAATATGGGAAGTTATCACAAATCCACTGGTATATCTCACTCAGAGTCATTTTCTTTTTGGGTGAGCTATTAATTGCAAATGTAATGAGGCTGGCATAACTGTATGGAGGTTTCCCATCTTTGTGCTGTTGGACTTCTTCCTGGTCCAGGGTTGTATTTGGGTCAAGGAGTGCATTCTTCTTGGAAATTCCTGTTCCATGTGCATTTTGTGCAGCATCAGATTTTTGGATGGCTGCTCTCATGGTGAGCTGTGGTAACCAGTCCATAGAGGTTAGGCTGCTCTCCAGTTCAGATGTCATCCTGAAGGTAAATAGACTCCTTAGTCAATATCAAGGAAAGAACCCCTGCTTCTCAAAATATCCAATATTCACAAATCTAGGAGTTCCAAAGTGAGGGAAAGCCTGAGTTAAATCTGGAGGAAAAAGATTGAGCATATTAATGACCAGACAGAATATTTAAGGGATTAACATTTCCAATCTTTTTTCTTAATTTCTTCGTCTCCAAAACACAACAAATTTGGTTTGAAACTATCCAAGAGATAGAAAAATGCATACACAAAAAGTGATTTTTATGTCAGTTTTCTTAAAACAACTATCTGTCACTTTGAACAGAGAGACAGGATCACAGTATGAAAAAAAATCTGTCTGCAGTCCAGCTCTTTACTCACCAACACCACAGGCCCTTTTAAAACTTAGGACTACATATCTGGCATTTCTTCTACATAAATTTTAGGGAAATCATATAAAAGAATACCAAAAGTAAAGTGTAGGCAAGAGGTCAGAGAAGTAATTGAGAAATAGGCACAGGACTTTACATGGAGGAAAGAAGGTATAGCTGAGCAGGTGGGAGGTAGGAAGAGCAAAGCAGGGTAGACAAGAATAGCAAGGAGGCAAGCTAGCTGGGGGAGTAGACCCAAAAGAGGAATGCAAACTCAAGGACACCGATGAAATACAGAAATGGAGAATGGGCAGCACCATGCGGTTAAAAAAAAAAGTCAAAGAATAAGCTTTAAAAAAAACTAAGATCTGGGAGTATAGGATATAAGAGATAAAGTCACATAAATGAAAAGCAGGAAAAGAAGCATTAAAAACTCAAGGACAGGCTTACAAAAACATCCAGTAATCTGGATTCTGTAATCTATTTCTCTCCAAGGCTGAAAAATTTCAAACCATTACCATTCAAAGAAGGAAAAAAGAAAAAAACAACACCTGCCAGGTAAACACATATTCTGGAGAGAGAAGGAAGCTGCTCTAAGAATGGAAGATAAAATATAGAAACAAAGCTTGACACTTCACACTAGCATAGCTAACTTTCAACAAAGGGTACAAACTTTCCTATCCTGGGATCAAAGAAGCAGGAAAAGTGAGCCTGGCAACAAAGCAGAGAGGCATGAAAGACTTCTAACTGATATGAAAATAAAGGAAAAAAGAAAACAAAATAGGAAACTTAAAATATCTCAGTAAAAAGAAAAAAATTGTGGCAAAGAAAATCCCACATATACCCTTCATTCCAAATGGCCACAGGCAAAAAACAACCTACACTTTGTGCCTAGGATCTGAACTTCTGGAAGGCAATGCAGAACTGATAAAGAACACAGATTCTAGAGTCAAGCAGACGAGAATTCAAGTACATAATCTCCAGTTACTATCTGTGAGACTATGAAAATGTTAGTATCTCTAAACCCCATCTCATCTGTGAAATGAAACAATAATAGTACCTATGGTTAAAATACTACTTTGAGAATTAAAAATTAAATGGGTAACTTACACTAGGAAGAAACACTCAACAAGTGTTAGTTAATAATATTGCTCTAAGAGTATCTAGGAAGGGTACTAATGAACCATAAAGTAAACAAGATTAAGCAATAGCAGTAAAATCAAGAGACAGCCATGAGGATTCTATCTGCATTACCAGATATTCTTTTTCTTATATTCTGATCAACAGTTTTACATTTTTTATTTTCCCTTCCCGTCTCTACAATATGCATCCTCTGAAACCTGAACTTTAAATTCCTCTACACAGCACCTTCAGAGATCTAAAAAAAACCTTACCCTCCTGTTCTACAATCTCAGCCAGAAATGCCTGTTTCCAGAATGAAAGAAGTTATAGAAACTTGTGGAATAAGGAGCCAAGATAATTTAGAGATCACAGAATGTCAAAGAGTAGGCAAAGTACCCAAAGGTCAGAAAACAGTCGCTTCAATCTAAAGATGAAAAACTAATTCATACAAATAGTTAACAGTAGAACTAAAACAGAGTTCAGAGCTCAGAGCTCCTGATGCCCAATCTAGCAGTTTTTCTACCATACTTATTCGTAATATTAGAATAATAGTATCTACCTCTTGCTGATATAAAGTACAGTGACTGGCAAACAATAAACAGGCAATAAATGTTAGCTCTTAGTGGTGGTGATAACAGTATTGATAGTTGCTGCTATTATTATTCACATTTTATTCTACAAGCATTGGCTGTTATTATACCAGGCTGTCATCATATTGGCCTCAATTAAGTCTCTACCAAATAGCTTTATTTTGTTCAAATTCCCCATGCAGCTAGTCACATTTTCAAAGATAATGTAAAAGTACATTGCAAACTGGAATATAACTGATATTGCGGATGCTCCCTATTGAAAACCATCTCTAACTTCTGTTTCCGTCCACCAGTGCCACTGAGACTTTATGAGAATCTCAGTAATAAAACATGAACATACACTAAGTACTTAATACTGTTATAACATTTAACAAGAATTTATAATTACACAAGTGTACAAGATTATTCTAGAGTAAAATTTTATACACACAGCAATTAAGATAAAATTTCTATCCTCTAGGAACCTATACTCCAATTAGGAAAGTCAAATACAAAAAAAGAGTTGAAAAAGAGCTATGGGTTCTGTAATGGTTCAGAAAAAAGAAGACGACAACATGGGCTGCAGCCTTAAGAAACATAGAAGGAAGAACTTCAGCTAAGACTTGAAGTAGGTTAAGATCTAAATAGGCTGGGAAGAATTTGTGCCTAGTCAAAAACATCATGAGTAAAAAGTATTCCATTGTTGTGCTTATGTTTACTAGTTCTACTGTAATTTGAAGCAGACTATAAAAATCTCTTAAATTTAAAATCTGAAAAACTGGGTTTCTGTTTTCTTTGCTGTTTGTTCAATTTTACATATTCTTGTTGGGGAGATAAAAAGTGTCTCCATTGTTGCTGCTTAGGCTGGTTGCTGCAGTGGTTCTCCACCAAGAAGACAAAAAAATGACCATTAGATTTGGCCAGATCATCAAGTAACTTTAGAAAGAAACCTCTCAATGGAATGGTGATGACAGAAGTCCACTTGTATAAGAGAACAGATGGTGACAGATTTAAAAACAGCATGAGAGGCTCTGAGGAATCTGGTTATGGAAATCTGGTTAAGAAATGTCAGGCCCTCATTACCTCACCTCATTCCCAAAGCTTCCTAGCTGGCCTCGTAGGCTCTGATTCCTCCCTACTAAGCACCTCCAGGGTCCATGCATATACTCAAAAAGAAAAGTCAGCAACGTTTTCCTGTCATTGTGCCCAAAAACTTGCAATGGTTCCTCTTCTCCTATTATACTAATTCTAAATGCCTCATTTTCAACTACTTTAGCTTTCATTAACCTTTTATTAATCCTTCTTGATAAATTCCTAGAGCAATTATAACCTCAGTTTGGCTCGAGCATGCTGTTTTTACATGTACAATTACATGACAAGCTTTCTATCCTCACTTCCTTTTCCCCTACCTCCCCCTCCAGAAGTTTTGTCAATCTACTCTTCTTATTCTCCATCTCCTAAACTGAATTAGATGTTACCCCTACAGATTGTAAATACTTCTATTACAGAACTCACACAGAATTAAGCTATCTTTAACTCTCTCACGAGGCCATGAACTCCTCAGAAGCAGGAGCTTTCTAACTCTTCTCCGCTCCTGCAATGCCGAGGAATACAGCAGGTAAAGGGTGCTTAAATGATCGAACAGTGACTACCCAATGAAGGTGTGGGCATGCTCCTCCCCAAACAAACAAGAGCAAACATGTTTACAAGCTAAAGCAAGAGGTAAAAGAAAAGAGGACTCAACAGTATGAGGAAGGATAACCACAAGACTGAAGTCCTGTACGAGCTGGAAAAAAAGTATGACTCAGCACAGACTGACAAGTAACACTACGCAGAAACAGAAAGCTCTACTACAAGAGTAGGGTAAAACGGGGAGATGGAAGCAGAGATAAGAAGATAATGTTACGTGTAGGATAAAGCAAGGCATGAAGAAATTATGTCTGAAGTTCTTAAATATATAATGGTATCTATTGCTTAAAAGGAGTTGCATGAGGAATTTTCTCTGCATACAATGAAAAGGTAGAGTATCAAGATATAACAACTTCACCCTAACTCATGACACAGGAGGAGGAAGGGGGTTCTGACCTCACTTAATGAAATACTGCCACTGATTCCATCACAAATTCGCATTTTAGCTACTTCAGCATGTTGCTTGGCTTCCCTCTGTAATTTCCCTAATACCTGAGGAGTAACCAAAGCTTACAAAGAAAAAGTTCAAGACTTCAATAGGACTGAAAAAATGGGAAATGGGTAGAGATATTGTTGGCTTTCCTAAATGGACCTAAGAGGAAGACATCAAGGAAAATAAGAATAATGAGGGTTATGATGTTGTGACCTAGACATGCCTGAATCTTACCCCTCCACTCCTAGCACTTGGCATTTTATCTTAAGACTTGGTATCATGTGAAAAACTGAGCAACTGGGAACTTAAAAGAAACCCTTGTAATTACCACAGCAGTAATTCTGATCACATGCATCTCAGGGGGTCAAAATACATGTATATATTTAAACATTTTAAAACATAATTCCTGTTACTGCATCTCAGCACTCAAGGCAATCAGAAGCAAGGTCGATGGCAGAGACCACTAACTGCCACCTAATACCTGCTGTGGCCTTCTTCCTTAAGACTACAACCCAAATTTTATTCTGGATACTATTAACACCTTTTGCACTATCCTGAATGTGGATACAACTGCTAGAGTGCCAACAGTCATCTGTGGCCATAAGGTGATCTGTGGAAATGGAAGTCATATGCTGAAGACATGGAGCACAAAGAAGGGATCTGGGTCCCTGATTTTTTGGTGAACCAACTGTGAAGCTGCCATCCTAGTCCTGAACTGCTACCTTCCAGACTTTTTATGTGTCTGCTGTTGTTCAGTCGCTAAGTCATGTCCAACTCTTGCGACCCCATGGACTGTAGTCTGCCAAGCTTCTCTGTGCATAGTATTTTCC